GAGTTTCGTCAGCACGACGGCGTGGTGACGATGATGATGTTCTACCGACGCAGGGCTTCGCCTAAGCACCGCTACAGTATTATCGAGGTGGACTATGGTGGAGGGGGGCACCGCACACGGCTAAAAGATCAAACGATCAATTGTTGTGTCTCTAGGGTGCCCCCTGCCCCCGTATATAAAGGAGCAAGGGGGGTGCGGCCGGCCAAGGTGAGAGGCGTGCCGGGAGGAGTCCTACTGTCACCGGGAGTAGGACTCCCCCCTTTCCTAGTTGGATTAGGACTTGGGAGGGGGGAAAGAGGAGGGAGAGAGGAAGGAAGGGGGGACGCCGCCCCCTCTCCTTGTCCTATTCGGACTAAGGGGGAGGGGCGCGCGGCCCAGCCCTGGCCGCCTCTCCTCTTCTCCGTAAAGGCCCACTAAGGCCCATTAACCTCCCGGGGGGTTCCGGTAACCTCCCGGTACTCCGGTAAAATCCCGATTTCACCCGGAACACTTCCGATATACAAACATAGGCTTCCAGTATATCAATCTTCATGTATCGACCCTTTTGAGACTCCTCGTCATGTCCCTGATCACATCTGGGACTCCGAACAACCTTCGGTACATCAAAACATATAAACTCATAATATAACTGTCATCGTAACGTTAAGCATGCGGACCCTACGGGTTCGAGAACTATGTAGACATGATCGAGACACGTCTCTGGTCAATAACCAATAGCGGAACCTGGATGCTCATATTGGCTCCCACATATTCTACGAAGATCTTTATCGGTCAGACCGCATAACAACATACGTTGTTCCCTTTGTCATCGGTATGTTACTTGCCCGAGATTCGATCGTCGCTATCTCAATACCTAGTTCAATCTCGTTACCGGCAAGTCTCTTTACTCGTTCCGTAATACATCATCCCGCAAGTAACTCATTAGTTGCAATGCTTGCAAGGCTTAAGTGATGTGTATTACCGAGAGGGCCCAGAGATACCTCTCCGACAATCGGAGTGACAAAGCCTAATCTTGAAATACGCCAACCCAACATGTACCTTCAGAGACACCTGTAGAGCACCTTTATAATCACCCAGTTACCTTGTAACGTTTGGTAGCACACAAAGTGTTCCTCCGATAAACGGGAGTTGCATAATCTCATAGTCATAGGAACATGTATAAGTCATGAAGAAAGCAACAGCAACATACTAAACGATCGTGTGCTAAGCTAAAGAAATGGGTCATGTCAATCACATCATTCTCCTAATGATGTGATCCCGTTAATCAAATGACAACTCATGTCTATGGCTAGGAAACATAACCATCTTTGATCAACAAGCTAGTCAAGTAGAGGCATACTAGTGACAATCTGTTTGTCTATGTATTCACACATGTATTATGTTTCCGGTTAATACAATTCTAGCATGAATAAGAAACATTTATCATGATATAAGGAAATAAATAATAACTTTATTATTGCCTCTAGGGCATATTTCCTTCAAATGATGCTTGCCTAGTTAACTTGAATATATCATGTGTTGAGTTACCTATTGATTTTGGCACACCACCTATTTTAGAGAATTGTGTTACAGTAATGAATGAGTTATGTGATCAAACAACTAAAATACCAACAATTTTGAGTGCACCCATTGAATTAACTGTTGATGCAAAAGAACCAATGTTTAATCATTTTGATATGACCTCTAATCTTGGTGATGATTCTGTGACCAATGACTTATTGCATGTTTGCTTATTTAAGCATGTTGCAACATGTAAATTTGCTGCAAATAAGGTTTATTCACCAATGTTAGGATGATTTAATGATGAACATTGTCAATCTTTTGAAATGAATAAGAGCTTTGCTTATATGTGCAAACCGAATTACAATATTTTCATGCCTTCTACTTCTTGTCATAATATTTTGGCTTTAGATTTTATGAACTATGAAGGTTACTCATGTATACATGTGTCATATGTGCAAAAACATAGGGAAGTAAAAATGGATGACATATACATATACAACATGTACACCATGTCTCTTTTGGTAGCCACATTTTAGATTAAGCAACGCCGAAGACGGCTTTGTTTTCAAGAAGGGGAGGATGATGAGGACATGACTACCTTGGATAAGACCAAAAATATTGCATATATGCATATTTGTCAAATGATTTCTAGTACAAACTATTCAATAATCTATTTATGTTATCCAGAACAAAAATACTTCCCACACTTTTGTGTTTTGTCTAATTACAGGTGTATGGGACATTTGTATAATCCACATATGAAGATAAGGCAAAAGGAGAAGTTTGTGTTCTGTTCAAAAAGTCCTCTCATGTCACTTTTGGGCCAAGAAAAGATAGAGTCCAAGTTTCTCACGTTTTGGATTCAGATTTGGACTGCGCAGACATACCTGACTCAAAATGCCAACAACTTTTTCATACGGACTCTAAATTGGGTGATTCTTTTTTCGTTGGAAAGTAGATTTCGTGCTCTTTCCAACCCAGTTGGATTCACCTTCAAATTCGTCCGGAGCATTGAGATATCGATGAAACAATCTGACGCTGCAGCAGAATCCGAGTCAAACAACAAGTCCAAAGGTGTTGTATCACCTCCACTTGGGCCCATGAGCCTTGTACGACCTAGGGTTGGTTTTAGGCTGCCTTGGAACGTTCTCCCACCTCCTTGGCCGCCACCCTTTGCTCCTATATAAGTAGATCCATCTAGTAGCTTTTTCCTTAGGATTTGTTTAGTTAAAAGTTAGCCATTGCAACTTCGTGTACTTCGTTTGTGTCCAACGACCAGACCAAGACCGCTTACGGACCCCCACCTTTATCAATACTTCATATATACTCACAATATTCAGATTGCTTTTATCATATTCTTGCTTGTTCTTCGATTGCTTGCAGGAATAGACCTTCGTGGTTAGGTTGATTGTGCTCCGGCGTGGTCAATAACCTCTTGGAGTTGGTTTAGCGATTGTTAACGCGCAACGTCGTGCACGTTTGTAGTCGGATCGTCAAAGTCATCTTCACCAAATTGATAGTTATCATCTCATCGAAAGATCGGGACACCCCCGCCTATAGGAAGTGGTATCAGAGAGGACTTTTTGAACAGAACCCAAACTTCTCCTTTTGCCTTATCTTCATATGTGGATTGTACAAATGTCCCATACACCTGTAATTAGACAAAACACAAAAGTGTGTGAAGTATTTTTGTTCTGGATAACATAAATAGATTATTGAATAATTTGTACTAGAAATCACCTGACAAATATGCATGTATGCAATATTTTTGGTCTTATCCAAGGTAGTCATGTCCTCATCAGAAACTGAAAGGGGTCATGGGGGCAGAGTGGTCCACAAGCTAATCCCAGTGGAAAGATTAGGGGCACGTGGCTACGTTAGGGCAAATTAAAATTTTAACCGCGCAACCAAAAACATACTGCTGGAGATAGACCGTGGATCGGTTTTTACCACTACACGCGCAGTCACTGCAACGAGAGTAGAGTTGGTGATGCGTGTAGCCGATCAACCGAGCCGCCAAATCCTCACGCAACCGATCTCCTGGCGAACAGTTCCTTGTGGATCCCTCGAATAGCTCCTTGCGTTTCTCTCGAACGGTTCGTCCAAGCACCGCAAATACGATGCCTCCAAGGTCTGGTCGCAAGGCATAGGGGCAACGGGAGTGGCGGCGGTTGTGGTAGGGAGAAAAATATCAAACATAAATGGTGCACCCCACTCCCCTTTATATACACCTCCGACGTGGGCTCAACACTTGGCCCACTAGGAGTCCACACCAATTTTCGCTCGGATCCAATCCGAATGGGCTCCTGCCTAGTGTGCAACCTTTTTTCAAACTGTGTTGCTCACGAGTTAGCTAGTATGGTTAGGGTTTGTGGACGAAGAATCCTCCCCTGTTTATTACAGGTTGGTTTTTGAATTATGTGTCCTTGTTTTTTTTGAACTTAAATGATGTATCCTAGTTTGCCCTGTTCCTAATGCAGCGCATATAGATTTTTTGAGAAGTCAACTTTGTAAATTTTGATCAAGTTTATAGAGAAAACTATTTATATCTACAATACCAAAAATATTAAAACAAAACTACATCTTATGATGAATCTAATGACATATATTTGGCATTCTACATGTAAATGTTTTCCTCCACAAACTTGGTCAAAGTTTGTGTGGTTTGAGTTTTTTAAAAATCTATATGCATTACATTATGGAATGGGGGAAGTGTGAAATAAAGCTAAGCCATGATGACATTTCCTAAAAGAACCTAATAATTTATTTATTTTGCTTTCGTCTTCTTTCACTTTCATTTTTTCTCCTCTTATTTTTTTGCACTGCACATGCTCCAATGCAATGTTTTGCATGGGGCAAAAGATAGAAAAAACTGGCAGGAGAAATTCTGAGGCATTCAAATCATAGAGTAATCAGAAACCTTGTTTGCAGCAGTAAGCAAAATAACAGTACATTGTGGCCTTGATTGTCATCCTGTATATAGTTACATACAATTATGCATCTCTTGTCAGGTGGCTACACAATAACATTAGTATCTGTAAAACTTGTTACATTCAAGATACATAAAAAAAAGGAGACCCATACGAACTAGCCCCTACGACAATCTCCACTACTATTAAACAATCCAACAAGAACTTTTTTAAGTGCACCCCGCAATTACCCCCAGCACACCGGACGACTCATTCACCACCGCACGATTAGACCCACAAATCTGAATCTAACAGCCATCATTGATCTAATACCTCTACGGTGTGCATGTAGCAACTTCCGTTGGCTGACCGTGCTTCACCTGCAGGGAATATTCCACCTACGCGTGTGATGTCCCTACAATCACGCAAATGTAATCGCTAACTTCTCCGTGATTGCATCTCTTCTAGCCCCTGCCTCCCCGCACCTATCGCCACCGCCCCTCGCTAAAATAAAACCCACACGCCCGACGGCCGACGACGCACGACCCTCCTCCCTCGAGCAGCAGCAACGGAGCGGCGAGTAGGGGCTCAACCTATGTCGACGGGCGGCGTGGTCCCTCTCCTCCATCGAGTAGCGGCAGCGGCACGGGACGCAGCGGGCTCGGCCTTCGTCGGTGGCGGCAGGGTCCCTTTCCTCCCTCGACCATCGGCGGCGGCACCGAATGCAACAGGCGGCCAGGGAGACGGCGCTGCGTGCAAGGCGCGGCAACGAAGCTGAGGGAGCCGGCCCTTGTGGCACGGGGGCGCGACGGTTCCATGGCGGCTGTGGGGTGGAGGGCGCGTGCGTGAAGGCGGCGCATTCCTTTGGCTTTCGGCATGCCGCGGCATTGACTTCCCTGCTGTCGTCGTGCTCCCTGATGCCAGCTCCTCCTTCCTCCCGCCGCTGGACATGCACAACACCATCCCATGCCCTCTGTCCGCTGGCCAGAGAAAGGTTAGTAGTTTCATTCTTTTCTTCCTTGAAGCCGAGAGAAGATTACTAAATTATCTCGCCCACTATACCATACGGTGGAATGAGCTGGGATTCTTGTGTTGGCGCATAAGCATTATTTTTGTTGATTCATGCCTCAGATCTAGCATAAATAGGATAATCCAAAAAAACCTGACCACCAAGTGTTTGTGTTTATGCTCACAAAGCTTTTCATTCTCTCTTTTGATTGTCTGAACATTCCAATCGAGGAGAAATCTATTAATGCCCTGAGTTCATCGATTCCATGCAGCTATAAAGTTGAATGAATCAACCAAAAAGTTATGGCTCAGAGCCCTAGACAAACAAAAAGTTATGCAGGGAAATCACCTAAATTAACAGCAGCCTGGTTGTTCAGATGGGGTGGGCGGCCTTGATCCCTTGCAAACACGCATCTCGTAGATGGCCAAGAGCGGGGAAGGTAAGGAAATGCATGTTTACGCTTTAGAATGCATGCTTTCCAGGATAGAAATGGGCTCTACAGCAATACCAGTGATACATGCTGAAAATTTCTGACAATATAGAAACCCAGGAAGCAACAAACTACACTGCAAAATTTAAGAATAGGTGCAAGACAAGGAATAATTGATCCAGTGTGAAAAAGAAATAGTCAATGATACTGTTCTCACGTGGATATGTAAATTCTATCCATTTTTTTTGTTCACACGCAAAAAAGTATATTATCAGTGTTAGGAAAATGTAATGGGTGCATGGGAAACAATAATTTCTACTTCCAACATGTTAGTTACAGCACAAGCAATTGTTGCATTATGAAAAACAAAATGTATGGTATATGAAGCAAATAAATATTCATAACAACACGATTGTATGCTGGAAAGAGCAACTTGCAAGACTAAACAGATTCCTTATAATTACAAGGAGAATAACGAGGCCAGTCTAAGCTGTTAGGAATGCATACAGAAGAGGCATAATCTGCAATTTCACTTTGACAACAAGGATATAACTAAATGTTGTGCTCCAGAAAAACAGTCAGAAAAGGACAAGAATTTATACCATTGCCAATAGGTATATGGAAGTTGGATGTGCACAGATTTGGTGAACACGACCTCAATCTGCACGGATCCGGTAACGCTGACCTCAATCTGCACGAATCCGGCTTTGACAAGTTGGATCTATGGAAGGGACGATCATGGCAACGACGCCATCGCTACAGATCGACACACATGAACACATGATGCGGGATAGGGTATCCATCTGTTGTATCTAGATATCAGAACACTTCCTTGACTGAATGTGAAAGTGTTAGGACAACAAATGCATCATTCTTCAGTCTTTTAGTTCTGAGATTTTAGTTATATATCAGTCTTCAGACCCTCTTGTTTTATTTTTTTTCTCTTTGTCAATTAGTGTTTTTAGTCATATTTCCTAAAAAAAATCTGTCCTTACTGTATTATTTCTTCAGTCTATTTGGTTTTTTTCAACGATATGATCTTATTCCATAAATTGTAGGCATCAGTGAGAAATATGGATGATGCACGCGAACGGATTGGCACTCCCATCTCCACTGCACTGAAGGAGATCAAGCCCATTTCCATCAGCATCAACTAGAACCTCCCCTCGACCTGCATCCTTGCCTTTCTTTTGTATCTCCCCAAGGTAAGTTGGCATGCTCCATGTTCGTGCATAAGGACGGTGAGATGGATATGGGTTTGGTATTACTGTTGTTGATGAACTGCTCATTTGCCAGACTGTCAAACCAGATGAGCCTGAAAGGAACCAAGAGAAATGACTATTCATTTGGCTTTGGTATTACTATTGTTGATGAACTGCTCATTTGCCAGACTGTCAAACCAGATGAGCCTGAAAGGAACTAAGAGAAATGACTATTCATTTACCAATCTTGCCATTCTCTGTATTGTCAATTTGCCAATTCGACTGATGCTTGAATGTATTAGTAGACAAAATGACATGTTTGTTGATCAGCTATGATATGTGTTTCCATTGGCTACTTGCCGCTTTCTAAGGGGCAGATTTTAGCTTGACAAGATTTGTGCAAAAACATAGCAGTGCTCTTGATCTGATGGAAACTCAGAGTAGGGTGTTCCAAACTAGATTGATACACGTAAGAATTTTTGACTGATTTTTATGCTCAGAGCTACATACATGCTCGCAGCGCTTCACCTATCCTAGAACTTTCATTTCAATTTTTGTGTCGCTACAATTTGTCCATTAATCGATATTCTAGCTCCATTAATTGGTATTCTAGCTGAAAGTTTCAAAGTTGTCAATTGTTTTCGAAACTCGGTTCACAGAGTGGCTGGTCCTTTTTTGGGACATATTTGTTGTGTCTTTTCCCCATTTTGTCTTGTATTTTGTCATACACAGTTCAATTAGCTAATTGTTATTATGCCATAGGTAAATTGTGCAACCTATTGCCGCTCTGCCATGGGTCACATGGTCGTCCTTCATACACCGCTTTACTAGGACTAACGCTGAAGTACAGATGATGGTGTATGTAAGTTTTCATTATTTCCTCAGTTTTTGTTTTTCCACAGTTTTCTAACTGGGGTCCTCACACATTTTTTGTGTGTGTACATTACGGGCCACCTAGAAAATTTCAAAAGAAGTTGCCTCTTGTTTGGACACCCCGAAGCACGGGCTGGCAAGACTAAGATTGGGCAAAGAGAGCTTCAGGAGGACCGTTTATGACACCTCACTCGACGGTTTATTCTTCAAGCAAGGATGGAAGAAGTTCCTCACGAGACATGAAATGAGATTAGCACTGCTATACTAATTACATTTAAGACTGTTGCCAACAATGAGTTGGAGATTATAGTCATCCTTTTATGTCCTTTGAGAAGATCATGTTGGACAAGTTCCAGGCTTTCATGAGTTATTTAGTCATTTCTCAGCGTTTTTTAAACCATGGAGGAGAACTGCATGTGAACTTCATAGATACGAGAAGAAAAGAATAAAGGCATGTAAAAAGTTCAATTCATTTTCTGTTTATTTTGTTTCCTCTTTCTCTATGTACTGGTTTTTGAACTGTGGTTTGTGAATCGGATGTATATATTCATGTTTTAGTGTGTTTGTTCACTTATTTGCAATCGGTATGTAGTCTATATTAATATATTCAAAAACATATTATATTAATGAATGAAGGAAATATTTTTATAATTGTCATATATGATTATAATATTAGTCGAGACGTGCGTTGCACGTGCATACTTACTAGTTTATTTATTAAGAAAAACTAAAACCAGGCACACACCCTGTGGAACACAAGGCTCGGACGATGGTAAAAGGCTGGGCGCGCAGCCGGTAGCGCATCACTAGCCAACTGGTCGACGCCTAGTTCCCACATTCAAGATACACGAACTACGAGTTGCCCAAATTTCTATGTTCTATTTCGTTGACAGAACATTTCACAGAAATTTATTCGCCGAACAACGGAACTTGATGGAATGGTTGTAGTCTTGCACAGGTTTACCCGCGGCGAAATTTAGGGCGAACAGAGAAAACACCAGGCCTCAGCTCCTCAAATCGGTACCCATTTTCAATAAGGAAGCCCCTGACTGCAGCAGGCAGTGAAGCATGTCCTTTGCTGTGCCTGCCAATCCCTGTAAGATGCAAAACGATAAGATCTCACTAAATCTGGTGTTGCTTACACAAGGTACGGCTACAAAAGAGTAGTGATGCCCTCATGTGGCAGTGATTGCGGTAACAAGAAGTTTTGAGTAATTAACAAATAAGTTAATAGAGGGTAATATATTACCTGTGATCACCTCTAAGACAGACTATCTTGGGCGAAGAAATACCACCACTTTCTCCGCTGCAACCTCATTTGGGACAGCAATTGTGGGTTCAGACTTATCTAATTCATCAGTTGAAGTTGGATTATTCCCTGGTGGCTGGAACTCTAACATGTGAAGATGCCTCTCCAATGCAGTCACAGCCTCTGATGCATGTAGACCATGCATGTCTGTCTTCCAAATGTTATTGTTGCTGTTCCTGAGATGAAATATTTCTTCAGCTGCCTTATTATTTAACTTTTCAGCAGCCAACCGCTCTTCTTGAGCTCTGAGGGAGAGTTCCTTGGCAGCAGCATGGTCACCTCTGAAGAATGCATTGCTGGCAGCCTGAGAATGTTTTGTGGCAGCCCTATGACCAAAAGGAAACACAATGGGTCAGTTTCACACGAAAAGACTCAACGTCAGGAGTGCGGCACATTCAAGGGGTCAAAGTTAGCTAATCTTGTCTCTCAGATTCTGACCATCATGCTGATGCAAGATATGAGTTACAGAAGTATGTTGCTACGAAAGTTTGCATTTATTCGACCTACATTTGTCTGGGTTTGCATGAATGCAGCCTACTCTGATATGCATAAGCTAGTGAAACCCGTAACAAGGATTTGCAATATACCTCATCATCTTCAATGCATCTTTCCGGTGGTTTAAGTAATCATCATCAAACTCTTCTAATTCAGGCTCCTGGGGTATAGAGATTAAATTCATTTGCGATGGCAACAGTTGTGATTCATTTGAATGTTTATTCTCTGCTATAGCGTTTCCTGACACTGAACCATGTGCTTTATTCATCTCAAAAGGAGGTTGACCAGTTGTTCTACCCTCCCTTGGCAGAAAGTCAGGAGCGACCATGGATTTCAGCAAAACAGATGCCTGGCCAACATCATTATCCACGCCAGCCAATATGTCCTCAATTAAATTACTGTCGGCCCAACTATGAGCATCCTTCAGGAGCTTAATTTTGTTACCAGATGCAGAGTTTACACCAAAATTTGTCCTCACCGTGTGATCAGTCAAATGCCTGTTTCCGTTTTTATTACCAACAACTGCAAATTCAACAGGGGGGCAAATCACTGATGCAAAAGGCTTTGCCTTTGGCATACTATTATTTCCTATAGCTGAGCTGCTGGCAGAACCGGAGCCTCTAGAACCCGAGAGAGCAGGAAATGAGTTGACATCAACATCATCCCCTCCATCAGCTGTGCCAAACCTGCGATCGAAAGCAGCCCACCCCGAATTGGGGATCTTCGGCCTATACATGTTTACAGTTGACAGCCTTCTTGTGAATGACCTTATTTTAGTTTAAATGGATAAGACCCCAACGCTCGCCGAAAGGACGGTGGGTAGTGGGTCCCCTTTGTTTTACTTCCTTCAACCAATCAAGAAATCCACCAATTTCCACCTAAAACGTGGGCAAAGATGTCAACTCACTTCATCTAATACAACCATATAATAAAACATTCAAAAGTGGCAAATCTTGGAACACAAACATATCACTAACAGTAATAAATAAGTTCAAGAATAACACGGTCCATGCCATTTTTACATTTTCATAACAAGGTTTTGTTGAACCTGATATGTTCTCGCATTAAACCTTATTAGTACCAATGAGTCTTTCCATTAGTTACAGAAAAAAGTTACAATAGAAATGATTGGACCTTTGACTTGAATGTCCGACAGTAAGCCCTGTGATTTTATAAGTTCCAAATAGACCTATGATTATGCACGTTTGCTTGTACTGACTGTTTAAGGCACAAATTGTCACACTGCACAATTACAAACCAATGTCCTGTTTAAAATAAGCCTTGAGGTTATTTTCTTTGTCACAGTTGTTACTAATGATTGTTTCCACCACTTTATTGATTAACAATTGCTGGAAGCAATCATCAAGTCATAAATGAAACAATGATTCGTGCCCATACTCTTTATGATGCCTTCCAAGTCGTTCTTCATCAATTGAGAGCTATCCTCTTTCACAACATTCACTACGAGTAGCGCCGGAGACAAATATTAAGCTACTATGCACTTCTTTTTTACTGAATCCACTTTTCTGACAGTCCAACAATCTTTTGGCTTCCCCCAAATACTAAGCCCTCGCAAATTTAACAGCGAACCAATAGAAATTTGCACAGATTTGATAGCACAGGGAATCCACCACGCAAGCTCCAGCCGCACACAGCTTAAAGCTTTCCCCGTGGTCTCTGCTCGCTATTCAGATAGACCGGTAGGCGCACGTACGTACCTCTGCAGAAGGGTGTTATTTGGGGGCGTTGACCCACAGCTCGCGGAACCACGGCGTGGAGGGGGCCGGTGAGAAGGGCAGACCGGAGGGGCGGGGGGAGACGCTGCTCTTCGCTTCACAAGTCCGGGCTGCAGCGTTCCTTCCGAAATCCATAAAAAGCGGCGGCGGCGGCGGGCGGAGGATTCCGGAGAGCGAACTCGGGGGAATCTTCTTTTTTTCTCTTGTTCTTCTGTCCGCGAGGTCGCGAAGGGGAACAAACTCGTGGTGAAGGTCGTTATTATATAGGGTAGTTGACGTGAGGTGTCCTCTTTCCGATTCGGACGGTGGAGGTAAAAAGCGCGTGCCATAGCAAGGAAATTTCGTGCTGGACTCGGTGCGCGTTTCCGTTCCCGGCAAGTAGTTGACTCCTCAAACGCGGTTGGGCCTGGGTCTTCTGGGCCGTGACGGGCTGGGAATGCAGCGTGTATGCAGTCTTCTTTTTTTTCCCATTAGCCACCTGATGATTATGTCCCCCTCAAAGAAAAAAAAACCTAATGATGAGCAGAAAAAGTGTTGCATTGTCAAAGAGAATGGGTGCAGTAGACCTGACCCCACACGTCATCTGCACTACTGTACCGTGCACTACTACAGAGGATCTTCACCCGGTGCAGTACACATGCAAAATCTTCATCAATCTTGTTTTCCTGAATTAGAAGAAAGCACTGAGAAGGTGCGTGGTGCGGGTCTTACGGACTGGCTCAATCAAATTAAAAAAAGCGAAAAAGAAAAGAAAAAGGAAAGGCATAACGAGATTTATGAGGTCCTAAGAACACAACTGAAAAGGAAGAACTGTACAGCGACCCAAAGTTGAGAACAAATTTTGGTGTAAACTCTGAAAAGGAAGAACTGTACGCAACTGATGATGCAAGCGAGTCAGGGGGCAAGCGTGAATCTTTCACCAATTTTATGCATGAAAATATCAACACAAGCAGGGAGGCGAGCTACTGACCCAGATATCTTCGATCAACACCAAGCGAGCCGAACGAGAGCTCTCACCCTCACTCCTGCTACTTGTGTTGTTTCATCGGCCTGTCTGACGCTGTTAACAGACCTCCAATCAGATTTCCCCAAAAAGATAACATTGCTGAAATTCCTAATGCCAGTGAGTCAGCAACTGTCACCAAGACTTCCAGAGTAGTGAACCTGTCATCAAGGAGTTAAGTTTATTAGTTCCAACTTCTTTCAGGAGTCGCATTGAGCTCCTTTCCTTAATCAATTAGTCCCGATTCTTGTTCTTAAGGCAAGAGTTGCGCCAGACAGCCAGAAAGGCCATGCTGATACAGCTTTATGAAGAAAACAATTCCATTGCCCTCTATGATCGCCATGATAGTTTTACCAGTTTACCAGAGGAAGAATTGTCAGAAGGGTAAATTGTAAGGTACACATGCAGGGTTTAGGTACAAGTATTAAGGCTAAGGTTATAGCAGCCCATATGAACAAGAATGCTTTCTTGCAAGTCGCGCCCAAAGCAAAACAAGCAATGCGTTTTCCTCTGGAGATAAAATTAATCAGCAGGCAACCATATTTTATAGTTCAGTGTCATAATAAAATATTAACAGATAACCAGATGTCAGAAACAGACAACAATGTTGTGATTGAAGGCATGAACAAAATGAGAAGTAGCTGAACCTTGGTTGGTACTTGGTAGAAAGCCAAAGAGAGTTCCAATGTAGATGGCACATGATATATTTGCTGCTTGCTTCAACTCCAAGATGCATGCTGTGGTCCGGAGCCATGTTACTTATTTGTCTCAACTCTGTCAATAGGATGAATTTGTTAGCATAAGCATAAGAAGAAATGGATACAAAGTTATCAAGTTCATCCACAGTTCAACCACGCCAGATGTCAGGAGACAAACGTGAATGCACAAAATTCAATCAAGTAACGCTTTCTCGGACATGTCTGGTAGCATGCTGTTACCTTTACAAAAGTGCTATTATAGTTCAAACGACCAAAATGTAATGGGCTTAGGTAATTTCGTATTTGCATACCTCAGAAAGATAAATACTATGGATGGGAAGAGCTAGCAAAGACAAGTTTGAGAAGAAAAACTCCAATTCAAGTTTCTGTAACCCTGTGACCAGATCAATTGCACTAATGTTGAAACTTGCAATCGAATGTTCTTTGCCTGCTTGTGTATCTTTGATTTGCTGATACAAACTTCCAACCATGTCGGAGATGAAAGAACTATCTTGGTGCTTAACATCACTGCCTATAAACAAGTGCCTGGCTACATCCTGCAGGTTTCTTCATATCCTTGGACTTCATCAATTTCCTGACATGCTCCACACCGTCCCATTTCTCATCAGCTGCATAGATATTTGACACGATGATATAGTTCCCAATGTCCCCAACCTCCATGGAGAACAAGTGATCAGCTGCGAGCTGGCCGATTCTGACCTCTCCGTGGACTTTGCATGCTCCTAGCAGAGAGCCCCATACATTTGCATTGGCCATGTGAGGGGGCATATCCAACGCAAAATTGTATGCGTCTTGGAGACGCCCGCCGCGGGCAAGAAGGTCAACCATGCATGTATAGTGCTCTGCTGTCGGTACAACTCTGTAAATATCTCTGGCGAACTTGAAAACCTTGATTCCTGCATCAACAAGCCCAGCATGACTGCAAGCTGACAGCAGAGCAGTTAGAGCTACATGGTCTGGCTTAATGTCAAGTGTAAGCATTTCAGAAAACAGCTCTACTGCCTCTTCTGCCATTCCATGCATTGCATAGCCTCCTATCATGGCAGTGAATGTGACAAGGTCCTTGTTAGGGCTAACTCGAAATAGGTTGTAGGCATTGGTTATGTTCCCGCACTTTGAATATGCATCAAGAAGTGCTCCTTCAAGATGGATGTCTTCTAGGGATGCTCTGAGCATGTAGCCATGACATTGTTTCACCAGTTGTACCGAACTCAAATGGATGCAAGCCAGGAGAATATTTGTAATGCCAACAGTATCGGGACACTGCAACTGATGAAACAGACTGAAAGCTTGATCACACATATTATTACGTGCATACAACTGGATCATGAGATTCCATGTCGTCCTATCTTTCTCAGACATTTGGTTGAAGATTTTCTCAGCTTGCTCTACACTGTTATTTTTCAGGTAGCAAGAGATCATAGTATTGCCTGTTACAATGTTCTGACCGGCTAGGTTTCTGAAAAGTACATCTGCATCCTGCGGGTGACCACACTTTGCATATGCATCGAGAATAGCATTTGCAACTGACATTTCCCCAATATAACCAACTCGCAAGGAATATCCATGAGCTTCCCGAACCCTCTTAGCACCACAGAAGGTACTCATGCGGATAAAATTTAAGATTGTGACTGGGTCACAACGACTTACCTTACGGCACATTTCACAGAAGAGTTTGGTGAACTCCCCAATATATTCTTTTCTGTTAGCACAGCCCGATAGAATTGCATTCCATGATACTGAATCCTTGTCCAAAATATCAGCGAAAGAATGAAGAGCATCATCAAATCTGCCACACTGGTTATAGAAACTAATAAGAGCATTCATTAAGGATGTTTCCTGACGAAGTACTGGATGCCGATAAATATAACCATGAACTGCCATCCCTCCTTTCACATCTCCTACTTGAGCACAAACAGTGAGCAGACTAATGAAAGAAACAGAATCAGGGGTCATTCCTGTCGACAGAAGCCTACGGAACAGGCCTAACACCCTAGAGTGGCACCCGTTTATCACATATCCAGCAATTATTGTGTTCCACGTAACAATATCTCTTGAATTCATACTTCTGAATATTGATTCCACAACCCTCATTTCACACACCTTGGAATAATGAGTCATCAGCGCATTACAAACAGATATGTCCATATATAAGCCAAACCGGAACACGAAAGCATGCACTTCTTTGCCATAGTTCCTCCCATACTCCATGAACGAGCATACAGGAAGAATATTAGCTACGGTTGAATAATTCGGAAGACATTCCTCTGAGATCATCTGACCAAATAGTACGAGTGCTTCTTCGAACAACCCATTCTCGGAGTATCCTGCGATGATCGAATTCCATGAAACAACATCCTTGCAATGAATTGAGGAAAAGGCTCTATGCACATCATCCGTGATTCCACCTGCACCACATTTTGCATACATGGACACCAATGCATTCCCACACAAAGTATCAGATTCCAACCCAGTCTTGACGACATAGCCATGGACACTCCTCCCAGCCGTTAAATCTCTCAGCTTTGCACATACCGGAATGACGACAGCCACCGTCACCGCAGTCGGCATGCTCTCATCTACACCACACGCAAGCATCAACCGGAACAAGGCAAATACGTCGTCAAAAAACCCAGCCCGGGAGGACCCAGTGATCAGGATGTTCCAACATACCGCGTCACGGCAGCCCATTTCATCAAACACTAGGCGGGCGTCCGTGAGAGCCCCACGCCTCCCGTACATGTCCATGATTGCCTTCGCCACCGCCACGCCAGCAGCGTTCCCGAGCCTGACAACAAACCCGTGGAGGCACCTCCCCAGGGCGCCGCCGTCGGGGAGCGCCGACGCCGACTTGATCGCCGCGGCGACCGCGAGCCTGTCGGGCCGGAGGCCCCGCCCAAGCATCCCGCGGACGAGGCAGACGGACCCGTAGTGATCCCCGCTCGCGGTGCGCGCCCTGAGCAGCGCACTGCACTGCCTGTGGTCCGGTGTAGGCATCGCACCGAACACATTGTGCGCGTCCCCGTCGCCGGTGTGGAAGAACCGGCTCCAGCCGAGAGCGGCATGGGCGACACGCGGGGAGGTCGTCGGCGAGCAGCATCCGGGTTTGGCCAGCCTTGTGAGGAGGAGCATAGCTCAGTGGAAGGTCCAGTGTGGAGAATGGCGTGCCGGCGTGGCCGCGTGGGCATGGGAGGCCTTGGAACGCTTGCCGCGCAGTACGTAGGTGGGCACGGCGCGGGCCGCAGCCGCGCGCTCTGGCAAAGGGAAAGAAATGATGGGGCCGAGACGGGACGGGCCTCGCGTTACGGAGCATCTCCGGTATGAAATAAGTCCATATTTCACCCTTAAATGTGGCCTGACGGACGAATACCCAGTGAACTTTAATTTGGTATTGGTACTCCCACCGTTCGGAAATACTTATCATCAAAATAAATAGAAAAGGATGTATCTAGATGTATTTTAGTTTTAGATACATCTTTTTTGTTCATTTTGATGACAAGTATTTTCGAACGGAGAGAGTATGATTTTAATCCTAAAATCCTCGAAACCGGGTAAATGCCCCCCTAAGTGGTTTTGCTGTTGGTTTTATAGATTTTACTCCCTTCGTTCCTAAATACTTGTCTTTCTAGGCATTTCAACAAGTGACTACATACGGAGCAGAGTGAATCTACACTCTAAAATATGTCTATATACATCCGTATGTAGTAGTCATTTGAAATGTCTAGAAAAACAAATATTTAGGAACGGGGGAGTAGATGGTTTTAAAAGATGAGGAGGAACTGACACTTTTGACGTGGCACCGACCACTTGTTCTTGGTTGCAGCGGACCAGAGCAGTTGCTCTATTAGCGAACGGCGTTGAGGACGCTTGCCCATGGGATCTCGCCGCCGCCCGCCGGCAAGTCCTGCCGCTCGAATGTTCTCGACCAAGATTGTCGGCGGAAGCACCGCATTGGGCGGTCACAGTCCGTGGCAGCCGACAAAGCATCCTGAGCACTGCTACAGGCGCCATTGACGCAGCCACCTCGGTGTGCTGCACCGGCACACCTCCGTCGTTGTTCCTTTGGTCGTTGTTGCCGTAGATATAGTAGCAGAGTTTGTGAGCGAAGTACTAGCAGAGTTTACAAAAATACAGTAAAATCGGCAGCACTTTAAGAACCGATCAGACAAAGCGCTGAAAGATATCAAAATCTAATATATGTTTCTTCTGCTAAACTTCAGATTGCTTGGAACAAAAATACGATAGATCCAACTTGTCTTGGTCTGTTTTTCATGGTTCACTATTGCTAAATGTTTTTTTTTTTTGAAGGTCACCGGGGGAGGGCAAAGCCCTCCACCTGAATTGTATTCATTTTTGCC